AATGGTGCTTCCCAAATCCCACCAGCCCCCCCTCCCTCATAAAAAATGAACGGTCCCTAAATTGAAAATACTTGCCTCTGAGAATTTGTCTCAAATATAGAGCGCCAACTGAGGAAGTATCGATATAGTATAGCCCGTCCATTTGAACAGCACCGCCTCCATTCGACCAAACGCGAGAAGCAATGAAGTGAAAACAACTTTTAGAATCAGCCGAGACAGCGATACTAGACTCTTTTATTTCACGATTGTTCTATAATAATTGTTTATATATATATGTTTTATCACAAATGGCAAAAAACAAAACAAAACAAAAAACAGGAACGTTTCTGAATCCAGCACCCAAAATGGTTATAAATCTTACATGGTAAAGCGCTTTAGAATATTTTATAATTTTAGCGCTGTATAAATCTAATCTTATTATTATAAATAAAGAACTACGACACCTGATGCGCTGTCCATTCATGGCGAGGCTTCTAAGATGTCATTAATATTTTAAGCTCTTCAAAGCAGGTCGACGGAATTCTTGTGAATATTTCATCACTTCATGACATATATTATGCCGAGCGTATGAAAAACGTTTTCTGATTAATGAGGCGCTTCGTGTTTTTTTCTTATAGAAAGTTCATTTGTAGTTTTTTGTTTAGACGTTTTCGGGAGATATTTCTATTTTAAATCAAGTCTATTTTGGATCTGTCTAAAGCAAGCCCAATTAATTTGCATGTCGGCTCTTATTTAGTTATTTATCACTTCAAAATTTTGTGTTTCATCGCAGAAAACTGGTTTCGGTGTAAATCATTTGTTTGATTTATATTCGTTACTAATGATTTAGGATTTTAATTTAAACCAGTAAAGTTTGTTTTGTTTTTGAAAAACCAGGATCTTTAAGATTATCCATGAATAGAGGCATGAATTGTTTCTTTACCTTTCGGGACGTTTTTGTGCAATTAGAGTTATCATATTTGAGTAGTAAGGCGGGGGCATCCCGAAAGATTTGCATCCTTTTCAAAAAGTAGGATTTCATCTAAAGCTTATAAATCCACTTCATAATTTTACGTTTGCTTGATCGTAAAAGCTAATTTATATCTATATGCGTTTTATCATGCATGCGTATATGAAGAGTTTTTTCTCGTTTTTACGTTACTCTCTTAATAAAACCTGGAATTTTTGGTGACAGGATTACCCACCTTCTATCAGTGTTCCCTTGTTTGCTGTATCTTGTGATAGTACTTTTAAGTGAAATGGAAGGCCGCTAGCACCAAGCACCACTGAAGCAAATAGAGCAACGAGAAATGTGTTTGGTAACATTTTGAGGCGCTCTTTATTAACCACTCTGGACAGCTGTTTGAATAAAGTTAAAGGGAAGTCAATTCAAAACAAAACAAGAGACTTGGCAAATCGACAGCTACGATACAACCAAACTAAGTTTTTTACTGGTGTTATTTATGTGTTCCAACGTTCCTCAACGATTAACATTCGTTGATTTTATTTATTTATTTTTTTTAATAAACAGGTCTCAAGTTATTCTTCTTGAGTGCCTTTCAGTAAGCATACATATGCTACGCTCTTAACCCTGAAGAGCATGAAGCATTCCTCACTGCTGTAAAAATGTAAATCTCAAGAATGAACAATATCTTAAACAAACGCAAACCTAACATGGGGTTTTTGGCTTTGGCGAGTTCTTTAAAAAGGAGATGCTCACAAAGAGGGAAAACAGCATTGCTATTTCCACATGATAGCATTTGGATCGCTTATAGCCAATCATTATTGATATAAACGATGTTTCCTTACATTTCAGAGCGACTCAACTGAGAAAAAAGGAAAACTTCCTTACCTTGAATTGAATCGCGACCGATCAACACGGCAGCTTGTGTGGAGATGAACATTAACAATTCCATTTGGCCTTCTTGTCAGGAGAATTGACTCTACACCTGCCGAGGTCATTATTTCGGCGTTTTCATTGCACCTTTATCTAAATTACATTTGTTTAGTTGTCATGTTCCCCTCTTATTTGAATAGTTTGACAGGTTAACTACCCCTGCTTTGGTTTGATGAGAAAAGATAAAATGCATATCACTAAGGTAATGTATTAGTAGTTCTGTGACCCATTAGCGAAATGTGACTGATCTGCTGTAAATCTCAAGAAACATTCAGAGGAAGTTTTTAAGTGACGCCGCGTTTCTGAAAATTATCTTAACTCTAAGGCGGCAGCCATTCTGATAATCCATTGACTGCTTAATTGTAAGCACGCGTGAAGGTGTCTCGGCTCCATACAGTTTTTTGCACCATACCTAACATTTTCAATTAGCTTAACGATGTGAAAATTAAACCAGTTATTGGGAATTGGATTGTAGTTTCGAATAATGTATTATTTTAGGAACTTTCATTTCTATGAACTATAAAATCCCAAAAAATAGAAACCAGCCTGAAAGAAATGCGTTATAACAGTTAAGCTAATACTTGGCTTCACACTGGAGCTTGTAAGTATAATCTAAGTGCACTTTGAACCTACTTTGAGTGTGAAAACTTACTTGAACTTTACTTAGTGACCATGGAAACGTTCGTAGATCAAAGAAGCCGAAGTGCGCCGCCAAGTATGGTCTACACCACACTTGAGAGCGCAGTTGACCAATAGGAAATGGAAGCCAACTGAAAGCGATGTGCAGCGTCGCTACAATTCTGATGAACAAATTGACAAACAACTTGCTTGAATTTCATTTTCATAAACAGCCTAAACCATCGCTTTTCATATCATCCGACACCAAATGCTCTTCTGCAAATTACAAACCAGCTGCTGTTTCAAGTTTCAACCAGGTTATTTCTTTGCACCCGAAAAACTCTGTTGAACATTGGACGAGTCACACGGATATGCATTTTCAGGGTTAGCTTAAGTCCTACAGCAATTTCTTTGCCGAAAACCGCGTTGTTGAGCCATTCCAGAGAAATACAGAAGATGTCGTTTGTTCCTTTGTGTTGCTGCTATTGCTGCGTTGTTCTTAAGCAACAAAGCAACTATATGCATTTCTTCACGATTTTACTGCCGAACAATCGCATTTGTGATATGAATGACTGATTTTACTGCGAAAATACTTCAAGTAATATACTTTGTCATCAGGTGTGAAGCCAAGTTTTGTAAAGTGCGACTTGAGATTTTCAAGTGCACTTGAGTCAGGTGCTTACTTGAAACTAACTTAGCTTCTAGTGTGAAGCCAGGTAATAGCAGTATCTTTAACCACAGTACGCGGCAGATGGAATCGTTCAAGATACATTAACTTTTTCATCAACAATTTATTCCATCCAGAGGTTTTTTTCCGCGGTTTTGCACATTCATTGTAGTAGTAGATGGACTGACAGATAAACAATATTTTGATGAAATTGCTTCAACTTTATACCAAAGTGTGTCATGAAGTTTCGTTTTTGACGCCAGGAAAGTTTTGTTGCAAACGAGATTTTTTCTTGCGCTTTTATTTACGGGTAATGTTCCACTTCAGCTAGCGCAATTCAAAAATCTTGATAACGGCTCGATGATGTCACATAAGTCCTGTATATCCTGCATGAGACAGGGCTTACAATTTTGCTGTTCACGGATCATTTTTTTTAAATATAAATCTAATATATGAAAAAGGGCCTAGAGATTAAAAATTTGGATTAGAGCTTGCCCCAGTCCTCTAGATCGATGTTTATTTACATCACTGGTTTACAATGATTAAATTCAGTTAAAGTTTGCTAGCAGCTTTCATCTGTTCCAAGTAGATGAGAAAAATAAAATGTTTTTTTCTTATGTAAGACTCAACATTCACCTACACCAACGAAAAGGTCAGCGATTCTATCGAGTTGATAGAGCTAGGACTAGTTCCAATTCTCTTCACCTGAAATGCTCTTTTAGAACGGGCTTCTATACAAGACACTGAGTAAAATTTCAAAGTACATCTATCCCGTAGTAATCTTGAATTATGTCTTTTTTAATTTAATTATCAGCAGGTTGCAGACTAGAAGTCTATAAATAAACGTAACTTTGGACAGCCATTCTGTGGAGCAAAAACTGCGGCGCAGAACTTAGTGTTTTCTAATTGTCCACTCTGTTTACAGACTTTGCTCTCTTCTAGGAATTAGGAAGTTGACTGGAAAAAAGATATCGAGTGGGGGCTGGGTTGGGGGTGGAGTCGAGGAAAGGTAATGGCGGTCACGACATGCGTGCGATATTTGAGCCTTGCTTTTCCGATACGTGATCTCAAGAGCGCCTCATCGACTCTGCTTACGTCACGCCTTTACTGAAGCATGATGCATCACTCGGCAAATTTATAACGCCTTCTTCATTTGATGCATGATTCGTGGTAGTACAGTTCCGAAACTCTGTAGCAATATTTTTAAATCCGGCCTTAATCCATCCGTCATCTCGATTGCCATTTCTTAGTATTCTCTGCTGTTTTCACGACTGTGAACTGAGTTAATTATTGTGACCCCTCTTTAATTGTTATCAGTATAATAATCCTTATCGTTAAGTAAACATTTTTTTTATCACATTTACTCAATGATTATCGTACCCTCGGCTAAGCCAATTTAAAGGGAATTGTAAACGACTACGTAAGATATGATAAGGTTCCAACTCCAGTCGACATTACATGAATATCCGAGATGTAATTGAGATTGTTGAGAATGCAGCAGTACTGTGCATTAAGTGCAGCTTAAAACATTTGATCCCACTTCGCACCCTTATTCATTACACAAACAATAACTCAGCGATGGCTTTGTTTATCTTAAACAATCTAATTCAATTTATTTACTCTGTATTCAGCAATTTATTTTTACATATATATTTCAATGGAATTGCTGATTTTTTTCCACGTTCGCCGAAGCTGTTCCTCTATTGATATTCTTTCCTCGGAACCTTTACTTCTAATACTTCGTTAAACTGCGATGCATCGCAACGGCTGTAACTAGAATAAAAGCTTAAAAAGATTATATAACTTCAATGATGTGATGTAAAGGCATTTTCAAACACATGTTATCACTCTTGCATGTTCTGTCATTTGGCTAACAGACGAGAATATTGAGGATTACATTTCGTCAGCCTCAAGCAATGTCATATACATATGAAGACACTTTCTGTTTACCGATTACAAATCTGATCAGTCACCTCGATCCAGTCAGTAAGTTTGACTTGAAGATGTTTTGCCATACTGATTAATAAGTTTAAACAATTGCATACTTCGTGTTCCAAAGAGACATTTTGGCGCAGTATCGATGTTGAAAATCTTTGTTGCTAAGGTCATTGTGTTAAAGATCCGTATCTTCTACCACAAGCACTTTAAAGGTGACACTGTTCAAAGTATATTCCTGCACTGTTAATCGTTCTTGTTCTTGCAGTATCTGCAGGAGGACCCTTGTCGTCTCCGTCAGATTGTTTCTACAGGGGACTTCACGCACTTGCCTGCTCCTCGAAGATGTTACTTTCGGGACTGCTTTGAATTCGAAATCAGCGTAATCTCCTTTACGGTCGCTTAGTTTTGACCCCACTGTTTCTTTGAGAAGATCACTTAGGGCAGGTGAACGAGTTGGCGACAACTTCTTCATGATCGTTATTTAACTTCTTTATATATTTTATATAAGCTGAATATAAAATATGTGCATCAACCTCAAACTGTTTCGCTCCAAGCTTATCTACGGGCAGACGATATTCACCTTCTCGGATCCTCGTAGTTCAGTCAGTCCTCTCAGTAGATCATGAATAGCAAATACTGGATATTATCTGGCACTCTAGATTAAAATAACGCATTTGGCAAGGCTTCGAGAAAGCAGAGCTCTTTGTTTCCTGAGCACGTTTAACTATTGTCGCCTTTGTTAACTGGGGCATGTAACAAAAGCAGCGGAATCATATACGTGGTATTGTTGAAATCAAAAGCATGGACCCCCAATAAGTACATTTTTGAGCTTTCTTTGTCATAGGTGGAATTCCACAGTGCCACACGCAATTGTTCTTTTTTTTTTACGTGACCTTAGTTGTTCCAGCTGCACGTCTGTGAGCTGGTCTTCAATCCAAAGAAAAATGCATTATTTTAGATACAAGTTAAACAAATTTGGACATGTCCTCAAAGTGAGTAAATAAAACAGGAAGACAATGTTCGCCGGTGCCCTCAAAAATTCAACCACCTCAGTTCATATGTTCATCGATGACAGACAAATTTCAAAAGAAGTTATCGCTTTCATACAGGAATCGAATGCGGTAACGTTCGGGTAATTTGTTCATCGATGTGAACTCATTCTTGCCGTCGAATTCCAAACAATTTATCTGGATAAACCAGACATCACGAAAACGGAATATAGGCGAGCTCGTCAGTTTCATTTGTTCATAAGTTATAAAACCTTCAAAATCTCAATGATGCAGTGATGATGGATCTACATTCCCGAGTTAATAAACTAAGGAAGTGAAAACCAATCACCACAAACCGCTCCCAAGTCTATCGTTCTCTTAAGTTTCTTATACTCCGGCGCGCGGCGTTCCTTCGGAGCTCACGTACAGCACTTGGTCACGATAAAACCACCATCAGGAAAAACGAGTTTCGTTCAGCCGGAATGTCCAGCTCCTTCATAACTTCAGAAATACTCAAAACATGCAACAGAAAGTATGAAATTCACTGACATTGGTTCACAACCTGGAAGTTTGAGAGTAAGTCTGGAAATGACTTCTATTGTATTATGCGCAATTAAAACAAAAAATGTGAGCTGCAGTAAATTATCTGACTAATAAAAAGAGTCTGGAGTGTTCTGGACCCCATAGTAATAGGAATGCTAAGAACTGAGACATCGTCATCTTGTCCAGTTCTTTCGAGAATGTTACTCGCGCGATGAGTGGATAGCCTAAGCGACTTTCTCGAAACTACCTGAGACGAAATTGCGGGAAATGATTGTGGTGAAAAGTCATTTTATATGTTTTGATTTTCAAAAGACGTTTCATACCACAGATATTTTCTGCGCTCTCAGCCGTCTTTTTGTTCGACTGGGCTTTCGTTTTGCTTTGTGTTCATTTGGATGTTCATTATTTTTCCTTTTACTCGGCTTTACGGAGTTTAATTTAGCAAACTTCAACGGCAACGGCAACGAGTACAATCATGAGTGCGTCATGGCAGCCAAAAAACCTGACTAAACGGTTAAAAATGGTATTTTTTGGCGAAAGTTTGGTATTCAAAGGGTGAAAAAAAAGCACAAATTTTCTCCAAAACCTTTTTTTTTCGACATAAATCGGTCCAATTGACTATTCTTA